CCGGCTGAATCGCACACCGCACTTCTATTGCTACCTCTGCGCCACCCAACACGACATAAAGGACGTAGGGGTCCACATGAGCACTAGGATGCACGAAATCAACGCCAAATCGAGCTGCGAACAAATCATGTCGTATTGGTGCTTGGACTGCAGCTCGGTGATGTACTCGACGTGGAGCCAGTACGTGCAACACCGTCGCGTGGCGCACGGCGTGGTCAGGCCGTACGACGCGGTCGACAAACGTTTACCCGTGGTGACGGCCATCATGCGCTGGCTGTTGAAAGACTTCGAAGAGCACGGCCGCGAGACCCTGGCCTTCGCGTGCCTGCAGTGCAATTACCTTGGCGAGGGCTCCTGCAGTAACCCGTACAGATACTGTGACGTTTGCAACCCTCGGTATAATAACAAGTATTACTGCCAATTTTGTAATGTCATGTTTTCCGGCCCGCAGTCCATGTACGACGCGCACCGCATCACATTCGAACATTTTTTCATAATGCAGAACAGGGTATTCGGTGGTCCGTATAATGCCGACGAAAATCGTCGTGTCGACAGTAGCCGCGGTCCTGGAGGAGGTCGCGGTCGAGGAGGAGGTCGCGGTCGAGGAGGAGGTCGTGACCGTGGCCGTGGCCGTGGCCGCCGCAACCGCCGTCCACAAGCCGCCAGTGATCCCAGACCGTCGCTATCGTTATAGGTGACAAGACGTTAGTCGTTTTGTGTTGGTTTTTTTTTTTTTTTATGATTAATCGAGATCCGTTAGAGTTCGTTATTGTAATACAACAAATCGGATCGTACGATTTCCGCGCGATTGTAACGAACGATAAACGTTTCTCTTTTTTATTATTTAAAATAGAACCGAACACAAACGTCACTTCTTGTTACATTATTGATAATGATATATATTTTTTTTTTCTAACAATATATTTAAGTTTTTATTCATCAATTTATGTACTTAAACAATTAATTCTAGATAATATTATACGACAGCATTTTTTTAGGTGTGCGCTCACTATAATATTAATTACTAATACTATACACGACTATTTTAATAATAATAGTATTGCAGTTCAGTCGTGTTATAATAATAAGCAATTTCGAAACATAATTCTAAAACATTATGATATTGTATGTGTACAAGGTATTCTTTTTTTTTTTCATAATAGTATCATTGATTTATATTTTAAACTTTGAAAAACATTTTTTTTTTTTTTTTAACTTTACACCGTATACATCTTGGTAATTATTATTGTACAAGAATATTTTAACGAATTTTCATAATTTAATACTATTTTGTAAGCTTAAAATTAGACAAACGTAAAATATTTTAATAAGTATTTTGGTGTAAATTTATTTTACGATTTAATAATTTTAACTGTTATAATTAGTTATAAAAATATAAGAACTTTTTTTTAAATTTAAAAGAATTTATTTCAATATTTTATTATGATCTGCTGTTAGGAATTCAATTTTCTGTTTGTGTATTGGTTTTTTCGAAAATTAAATAATACTATTTAAAAAATAATTAAAAAACAATAAAATATTCATTAAAAACATTAATAATTTATTGAAGAATTTTAAAATCAAATTTATAGAAAAATGCAGTCTATTTTAACTTGTATATTACCTGTGCAATACTTGACTGATTTCAAATAATTAACGTAATTCGAATAAAGTTAAAAATCGTATTACAAATTAAATATTTAAAGATTTAATATCGTGTACATTATTCACTACTTAGTGAATACTGAATACTAAGTATATGGTATCTTTAAAAAAAATAATAATAATAAAAACATATAATAATAGATTTAGATAATTACTCTTTAAATTTTGTAATTGTGTTAGTGCCTTTAATCTTTTATGGGCTATGTTTGTATCCGTTGGTAGATTTTATTGTGTTGAGCGACGCCAAGGCCGGCTGAAGGCATGTGCGAGCAGTGCATTCCCACAAGGTGGCAATATGACCATAAATACTGAGCTGGGTATTTCATTGAACATGTTTTAAACTTAAAATGATTTAAAAATAAAATAATCAACTCTAAAAAATGAGGAATAGTTCGAGATAATGTAATTTTCTAAAATATCTAGATACCTTAATTTTTGCTTTATCGGTATTATTGTTTATTTTTTATAAATTCATAACATACGTTATGGTATTTATTAGCATTGACCATAAATTATAAATAACCATTGATATTTAAATAACAGGGCACTTTTCTACAAAGGTCTGTATTAACTGTATTAAATTGTACACGTTATGTATAATAAGATTACTTTTTCGTTCGTCGTCACCAAGTAAATAACAAGATAATTATACTTTGTATAACAGCTCCGTGGTAGAAAAAAAAGTCAACAAATAAATAATTATTGTAAATTGTGAGGTAAGTTAGACTTTTTACTCGAAATAATTTTAAAAATATAAATAACTAATAGACATGGAAGAATGACTGCAGGATAAAATACAATTTTTTAACAACAGTTATAAGTTAAAAAGTATCTAAGCATTATTTATAATTAAGATTACTATTATTTTGTTTATACTTGTTCAGAAATAGGTTATACCTAGGAATTATTTTTAAAATATTACTTAGTTTTGCATATTTTGTCATTACTGCATACAAATATGTTTGAGTGAATTTAATAATTATTAAGAACATATTTTATATAGATATAGATTGAAATATCAAGAGATGAAATTAACTTTTTAAGTTTTTATACAAATTTAAATTTAATTAAAAAAAAAAAAAAAAATTAATAAATAATTATTAAGCTAGCAGAAAGTGTCATCAATGGGTGGCTTCTTTCAACAAAAACCTCATGTCTCGTTTACCTTTACCACATTTTCTTATTATGTCTAATATTGATACAGATTGTTAATTACTTTAAAAAAAAAAAAAAGTTTTTATACAAACATTTTTTTCTAAATATGTATTTAATTTCGTATTTCATAATAGTAGATATTATAATTTACCATATTATTTTAATATTTTAATTTCAAATAATAAACATAAAATATATAATTTTTAGTATTTTAGACTATATCTAAGTGAATATTTCTTGTTTTTATAATGCATAATATGTGCATTGTGCATACATATTTTCTGATTTTTAAATGCTAGAAGTCCTCAACCCTAATTATATTATTTAAATATATAGTAATAAATGTTTTATAATAGTCAAATGTAATATTTTGAATTAAAATATAATATAATATATAAGTTATTTTCCTATAAAATTCATACAATAATACAAACATACTTAAATATTTATTTAACTGATGTGAATTGTGAAGTAGTTTTTTCAATCGAAAAAAAATATAGGTGTTATTTTAGGGCGGCATTTTTATGAGTTGGCACAGGGCGGCCAAATAACTAGATTCGACAATAGTTGAGCCAGACATTAAATAGTAGTATAGTACCTACCCAACCTAGTAATGCGTGGAGACGTGTACAAGTATATTTTATGGGAATACTATCATTTAACGATAGAGTACCCAAATATTATGATTATTTTTAACGTATTCTGTTAGACAGTTGCATGTTATTTTATTCATTATCTGGATCAATCTATTGCACTGTGAACGGTGTGAAGAAACAAAGAACTGCGTTTTTTAGAATTTCTCACTGATATATAGTACCACTGTGTTTTTAAAATATATGCGTGTTTTTGTGTCACATTTAAAGTATTTTGATGTTCAGTAAGTAGTTATAATTTTTAAAATTAAATAGGTACATCGTCACGATTATATCTGTGTTGGTAATAGCTTTTGCAAATGCATTTTTGATAGCTGAAAGGTATTTTTTCCTTTTGGACTTGTGTAATACATTTTTAAGAAATTTAATTTTGTTTAGTTATAAGAATTGTCACGATTTTATTTTACATTTCGTTATGTTCTTTCCTCTTATTGTAGATTTTATATATCCGAAAATTTTTTATTTATTTGATTATTTTTCTAAGCATTTCCATGTTAAACTTTCCAAAATTGGTTTCTACTTGATTGTTTATTCCAAAATGTCTTTGGCGAGTAACGCGTTAATCATTTAGCTGCTTCTTAGACCATTATGAACTATTTTGTTTGTAATCTATTATTTTTTTTAACTTTGAGTTAGATACTCCAAATTTTTCTAAGCTCGAGGTCTAAATGTTATGCGAGATGTAACAACGTTTGCACAACATACCCATTACATCTATAACATATTACATTTTCTTTTTCTCATTAAATTTTCTGGTGTACTTAATCTAGAATATCTATCACGGCTTTTTTCCCTATTATATACTTATTGTTAATTTTATTAGAATAATTTTTATGGTCTATATTCTATAATTTAATCTACATTTTTAAACACTGTGCGTAAATTTTATTTAAATATATTTATATACACGTTTTATGAATATTAAATGACATTAATTTTTTTCCGTTTTTAGTACGCGAAATACCTGAAATAACGATGGCTCGATAGATTCATCTTTCTACCACGGGCGGCCATTGTTGCTGATTTTCATACCTATTTTACTTCAAGAATTATTTAAAATGGTATCATAAAAAATCATATATTAGTAAATTTAGAGCTCTAGTCTATACAACAAGTTTTAATAGTATACCTACATGATTTCTTTTCACCTTCATAAAAACGAAATATATCAAAAAGGTTTAAAAAAACCGTTGTGTGTTTTGGTTTTGCATTTCTGTTTTAACCATAATCCCGAAATAACTAAAAATCTTCAGTTCATACTATAAAATACCGGAGAAAGTTGATAAAAAGTAATTTTTCTGAGTTTTTCATCAGAAATACATTTTATCTAAGTGTCAGCAGAACAAATTTTCTACTAATTTTAAAAATTAAAATATCGCAGATAACTATTGTACCAATAACAGAGATAATGTTTTTACCTTAAAATCGGTCGACAGGACGAACGTAAAAATTTAAAATATGAGGTACACGAGACACACGATTAAAAAATACGGTTTAAAATAACACAGTTATATTATACATATTATACAATGTATAATTAATAACGTAATGTGGTATTTAATAATATTTATTATAAAATACATTATATAATAATATAATGTCGTAGTGTAAGATCTACTGCCGCCCAGTCACAAAACTCGCGATCGTAACAACAATATAAAAAATAAAATAAAATAAATATATATTATTGTTAGTCGTACCGGTACCACCCGGAGATTTTAGAACGAATGACTCGTGTACTGCCGCGTCACCAGTTGCAGTTTAAACATTATCTTAGGCGCCGCAACGCAGTCCCTCAATTCTGACGCCCCAGAGACTTCGACGGTGGACAGCAATAAAATATTATTGTCGTTATGTTTAACCGAGTGACGTGCAGGACATTGTACACGCGATATTATCAGGTGCCGGATAAACGGCTACAACTCGTTTGCGCACATACGTTTTGGCTACGCCTGTGACGATAACCCTAATATATTATAGATCTCGTTTGCGCACACGTTTTCCTTCTCACTTCCTCGCCGAGTTTCAAAAATATTAGATATTTCTACGTGGTCCGTATTAAAAAGTTATCGAGTCTCGTCAACACACCATAGCCGGTGACAATAGTCGTAGTCGCCTCTACACTGAACCATAACCGCTAAAAAAACTGTACTAAAAAAGTAGTTGGGCGTACGGAAAATCTAAAATTTTATAATTTACACGATCGACTATAATATAAGATTATGATATTGCCGTCAAATATTCGATAACGAGTCCTGCTGCGCAATCAGTGACGATTCACACGCGCGTGTCAACGTGTCGCCGATTTTCAGGTAAAAAACGTCGAATGTGCGCAAACGAGTCGCAGCGGTACGTCAAATAGTATTTGTGCGACGACGCGGCGTCGTCACAAGTATCCGTAGCCGGTGACGGATCTGAGGGCGGCGGAGGGTCGCCGGATCGGCGGCGGAGACGACGGCGGCCGTCCACTGCAGTGGCGACGCCGGAACAGCAGCGTGGCCACGTCCCGGTCGTCTCGACGGTTGCCGTCGCCGCCGCCGCCGCCGTCATCGGAGTGATCGTCGTCGTCGTCGTCGTCGTCGTCATCGTTGTCGTAATCGCCGCCGCCGCCGCCGCCACAGCCGACCACGCTGCCGCCGCCCCGGTGGCCGCGACCCCGACGGCGACGGTCGCCCACAGGCCTGGGGAACACGTCCGACTGGGTCTCCCAGCACGGCGCCCTGGCCGCGTCCGGCGGCGGCACGATGCCGAGCGGCAAGCAGCTGCCGTACGGTATGTACCCCTCCTCGGCGTGCGGCGTCTGCACGTACAACCACTGCTCGTTCTTGAACACCGCGTTCACCACCATGCCGAGCGGCAGCGCCACCTCCGTCTGGTAGTGGTCGTCCAGCTGCGTCTGGTACAGCAGACAGCCCGTGCACAGCACCATCGGTATGTTGCCCGGCCGGCCGATCGACGACTGCGTGAAAAACATTACACGATTATATTATTGTTATTATTAATTATGGATTGTAGCGAACTATAATTGCGACAACGACGTGAAAAATATGTAAGAAAAATTATAATGATACGACGTCGTCATACGCACACAGTACCTGTGGACACGTTTAGCCTAAAATCGTGAACAATACATCACCATACCATTAACGGGACTCAGAGGTTCCCAAACTTTTCCTACTCGCGGCGCCCTCCTTTTGAAACCGAAATAAATTTGATCATGGCACCTTAATAAAGTTTACGTTTTTTTTTTTTTTTTTTTATAAAATAGATAAAATATCGTTGTTTATTTTTAGACCAAATAACATAATCGGCAACGAAGCGCACAGTTTGGGAACCTCTGAAATAATAAGTAATAGTAGGTACACCGAAAATTAAGCAGGTAATTTATACTTATGATCTTTGTAAACGTACTGCTATTGATTTATAAAATACACACATTTTAATGTTTTGAATGTCATTATAGACTGTATTCTAGCTAAAATTATTAAATAACCAACACATAAACTTGTAAACCAACTCTTAATTAAATGTATTATGTATTATGTATGATCTGGAAACAACGATATCACCTGCAATACGAGGTACCACCTCAGTGGTGAATCGAGCTAAACAATTTTTAATGACGTAATTAATTATTCTTATGTCTTTATTTAATCTATCTTTTTGGCCAATGAATATTATGTTATCTTACATAATTACATTACGTCGATGCTGTTTCTAACTTAGGTCGAATTTACATTATTTTTTTATTCGGATAATAAAACGAATCGGTAGAATTTACACGAAAAAACGTCTAAAAAGGTCGAAGTCGGTGAAGTTAACACACACGCCCCTCCTATCGACATAATGACCGAATTTTGTAATAACCGATTTCTGAAAATATTGTATTAAGAGGACGTCGCACTCGTATATTATATCTCCGTCTTACATACTGTACAACGTGACGAATTTTCGTTCATCAGAATCCATTTTGTGTCGTTAACTTTGATATTAGAGTGAATTTACCTATTATCAAACTTAAAGGTAACAACATAAAACGGATTCGGTTGAACGAAAATTTGTTATATTGTATATTATGTATGTAAGACGGAGATACACATGCGGGTGTGGCGTCCCGTTAACGGGCGAAAAGAGATCATTAATTTTCATGAATACTAATTCGTTTAAACTTTTTGAAAATAAATTACATTTTCAAATACCCGATTCCGTCAAAACACAGTAAAAACTATCATCTTTCATATAGCGTATTATTATTACTCATGGGTCTACGTCGTCTACGACCATTATTGACTTCGTAGCATTTGAAATACGCTGCATGACGTACCGTTTTTGTCGCTTTATGCTAATTGCAGGTACCTGGTACACATGGGACGTATACTAATTAAGTCTGCGGATTATTTCGAGTAAAATATAAAATCAACTATCCAGACACGGCGGAAATAGTGTCGCGTGGTATTAAAATAGATTACGTTATTAGTATCACGCTCATGCAACACAGCCGTACCGGCGTACTGCGCGTCAAGAGCGGTTTCGATGGTTACGACTACGATATCGTTCGTATTATTTTTATGATTCGTAAGATAATCTAATAAGTAATAACATATTATCTTACAGGCCGGGAATTTTAGATTTTATATCTATCGTTGCTAATACAATATATAATAATTACCAATTGCCGCATATTCGATTTGAAATATATAATATTTTAATGTTTATAAAATAAATTTTTACTAGTAAAAAAATGTAATTTTATCATCACCTATACGTAAATGTTTACTAATATAGTTTTAAATTTTTAAAAATGGAAAGGAAATTTTTGTTTTTTTAAAAGTTTGACGAAACTCGGTTAGTATTAAAATATTGACTCAACTAATATTTACATACCTAAAAATTCAAAAGACTCAATTATTGCTATATACTTTAAAACAACCAGGAACTCAATTCGTTATAAAAGATTATATTATTAGGACTTAGTTCGTATGCAATCGTTTTTGATACGTAAAAACAATATTCCTACCTTAACATTTAACATTGTAACGACAGATTAACTTTAAAAACGCGTTTGCGCGTTCCGAGAAAATGAGAGTTACCAAGAAGTTTTATTAAAAAAAAAAAAAAGACTGCAAATAAAATTATAGTGAAATCCAATTGAACACGATTCACCTTTTTTACAACCCGATTGAATGCGGTTGCTATCAAACAATAGGCAGGTAGTGACCCAAAACCCCCAAAAACACGATTGTAGAGAACGAAAATGATGCGACGTTGCCACTTTGTATCGTAGAATATTTAATAAAATAAATTTGAACATAAATATTTATGAAAAAATCTTTTATTGGTTTTTATTCACATATATGTTATTAAATATTAAAAAAGTGTTTGCTGGTTGGTTTGTTAAGTATACCACTCATACATGAAAAAAAAAATGAAAATTTATTTCTAACTTTTAATAAGTATATTTAAGTATGTTGTCATCAGAAATGTCATTTCAGATTTTTTTTTTAGGTATGCCAAGTTTTAAGCAAGCCATATAAAAATAGATATACGATTACGTACATAATCCGACTTTCAATCATTTCCATACATAGCATGTACCGAATTATTTAATCAATAAAATTAGGAAAAATCGTTTTAAAAACTAAAATATAATAAATAATTAACAATTATAATAATTGACAGTGTACCATAAAAAATACCATTTAAAAAGCTTTTGAACATTATCCTAGCAGGATACAGGTTAATTTAGTACTATTTTAAAAGTAAAGGGTGCAACCACACTCTCTGATCCCCTCCTCCAAATGACGCCCCTGCCTTATATGAGATGCTAAAAAATAATGAACATAGAAAAATGTGAAAATTTACAATTTTTTTTTTTACGGCCCACAGTCGCCTGTTGATTTTTTTTTTGTTAAAAACCTAATAATGTTTATTGAAACGTCACTCTATCTTTTAATGTACTTATTAATTTGATTTTCGAAAATTGTATAACAAAAGACCTCAAAAACCGTTTTTTTTTTTTTATGAGAACCACATTTAACGCGAAATCTAGGCGAAGGAATGAATTTTGAATTTCGAAACTTTATATTCGCCATTAGAATTGTCAGAATTTTTAAATTTAGAGTACTCCTGATAAGCCAATATAAAGAAGTTAATTTTTTAGTTTTTTAGTTATTTTCAACTTTCGTAGATGTTTTTCGAATAATATCTTTGTTATTTATTACTTTTTTAATTTAATAAAATTGGTTTATAAAACCAATGAAACTCATACAAAAATAAGAATTAGTAGATTAGTTAATGACCGTAATGAGAATACGTATATCAATCAAATCGTAAAGAATCGATATGTGTAAATATAAATGATTAAGAAAACTTCGGTGTTAATATTGGTAATATAAAATATTCAATTTTATTGTATATCTAGAAAATTATATGAACGTTTTTAACTGTATGAGAAATTTTATATATTTTTATTATAAATTAATACTGTATTTATCTAAAGGAACTCCGTATATAAAATATGAGCTTAGCTTAGTTAATATACGTATCAGTTTTTAATATTATAAATTATTATTGTTATTATTGTAACTATGCTAAATTATGCTGAATATAAAGTTAAAAAAAAAATCTAAACAACATACGTAGTAGTACGTACTAGTAAAAATTTGACTACGTTCTACACAATATTTATTTTTTTTATTGTGCTCAATCGAGTCGTTAAAAAGGGCGAATATAAGTTCTTACACGAAATCTATCAGGTAAAAAAAATACATATGTTAGTTACTACACGTCTACACAATAGAAACAGATACAAATTTAAGTTTCTGCACAGTAAAATAGGTGCGTATGCAATAGAAAAAACTAAATGTCTAAGTTCTTACAAAAAAAGTTTAAATTTCAAATTTATTATCAAACTATAATTCATATACTAAATATTTAAATATACCTACTCAAACCGATTATAGATTATAAAATCAAAATATAATAATATAATTGGCATAATACCTAATAAATTTCATATTACATTTTTAAAACAGATAGACAATAATAATATTGTATTAATTATTTTTGTTTGTTTCATATTCTAAAATGTTGTTATTAATAAAATTTTCTATTTAGGTGTATTTTTTTATTGATATTTGTGGTTCTAATTTTGATAGAAGTATTTACTTAAAAAAGTTTAAGAATTTTAATAATTTTAAAAATGTGTGGATGTTGGTGATGTTTAGTTTTGTCTGTCATTAAATAGTCTGTAAAACCGTAAACATTTTTATTATTTTGTATTATCATTATCTATCTATTTATGAAATTTAAATTTAATATATTATATTTGAACTTTGTTATCTAATTTTTTCCGCTATATAGGAATTTATATATATGGATCTGTTTGTTGGTTGTTTCTATAGTGTAGGAACTAACATACGTATTTTTTTTTATGGTGTTAAAAATTACATATCTCATTTTTACGAATTTTTATACGAATATAAATTAGCGTATGTAATTGTTTATCTGTTATTCTCATGTAGAAGCTTACTATTTCAAGAAAAAAAGTTGGTCGATAATGCCTGTGCTTAATCGAGTATCGCCGTTATACTTTATACCTGATTCCGTATGAAATCATATTTTTAATACCTTTAAAAAACGTTGTAGACATATCACATAGCGAATGTATTAAGTCCATTTTTTATTTTTTTATCGACGTTATTTTTAAGATTTTATTTTTATTTTTAAGAGAAATTTACAATTTGTACAAAATGGCATTATAAGCATGCGTATAAAAATATTAATGGAAAAAGTAACATAATATTACTTGTTTAAGAAATCTCCTAGAAGGTTTTTTGAATTGTGACAATCGAAGGGAGGGGGAAATCTACGCTAAGAACAATAATTTTAACCATACAAATATAGTTTTATTTTTAACTATTATTTTTTATATAAGTAGGTATAACGTTCAATATTATAGTTTACACTATGCATCGAATACACAATCAACCAACAAATTTTATTAACTCACTGAATAAACTTAATTATGGATTGAACTTTCAATATTAATGATATTTTAAATTATTTACAAATCGAAAATTACTATAAACATAGATTTATATTTTATCGTCACTCATTTATGCATTATTGTTTACATCATTGCATTTGTTTGTTAGGTTAAGTTAGTTTGGAACACGATATTATACCTGTAACAATGTAAATATTTCAAGTTGTTTGTTTCAATTTACGGATATTAATTAAACTAGATATATTTTGTATTTATTATTTATTAGAAAGGAGGAGGGTCGAAGTCCAACTCACTTGGGTTTAGGAAGAGGGATAAGTAAACGTTGATTTTAAGGCTCAAAATTAATAATCACGCTAATCGTAAGTCCGTTCTTGTTAAACAATAAATTCAAGCTTCGGCTATTAATTAAAAATTAAAATATTCAAAAATCTACAATGTAAATCACCCATCACGATAAAAGTATCACAATATTAAAAATATTTAATACTTAATTAATTTTTAAATAATTAAGTCTAAATGACGTGAAAAAATTACCTATATGTCTTTTTACGGATTTAAAAATAATGAAAAACTAAACTTGTTTTTGTAATTGAATACTTTTTTAGGAATATTACTGGTGCTGTATATTACGTTTTGTAAGTATTTTTATAGACTACAATTATAGGTAGGATACACGTCATTAATGCCGGTATAACCACGTGCTTTACGCGGTCCATCGTTCGGTCTAATCGTTTATTTCTCGAACGTTAACGACTGTCTGTCTTTCTAAATACCAAATATTAAATAGGAAGTATACACGAACGCAATATGCAATTAGCCGTCATTGCATAAACAAAACAAAAACATCTCAAATAATTAATTTCTTTGCGAATCTTTTCTGATGTGAAACACGAAAAACACATCCCCTGCAGATAGATTACATTTACATAGCTATAATCATATATCTTCAACAGTAATATTTAATACGTGCACCGTTCACGTATCGCGTAAATAGATTCTAAAAAATAATTAGAAAAAATTGAGGAAAATTAATGAATAATTAGACATGTACCCAAACCTATCGGGTATCTAATTGGAAATAGGTACCGTATAACATGGAACATAATATTTTGTATTTAATATTAAAAACAATACAGTAAAATATTCTAATTTTTTTCATGAATTGCTTTGATATTAAAGTAAATTCAGTTCAAAAAATATTGTTTAAGTATAAGTTATATAAATAACTAAATAATTATTTATAAATATCGTGTTATCAATCAACAGATATTAATAAAATTCTTAGTTAAATGTTAAGTTGACTTAATTATGTATGTGGCGAAAGAAGATTTTCGAAATTACAGCTAATAAAAACGTATCTTCTTTTTTTATGTTAAAATGTATATAAATAAATAACTAATTAATAATTATAAATTATAATATTATATGAATTTGTTTGTTTGTTTTTTCAAAGAAAATAATACAATCTATATATGTATTACAATAAGCATATTAAGGGGTATTTTTAAATACGATTTGTTGACGTAGGTAAAGAAACTATCAAAATATGATGGCACTTGAATTTTATTTAATTAAAATAAAACGACTACTATTTATATTGGAAGGGGCGCATATTTGTTAATTTGTCTAAGGCGTCAATTACTCTACTGTTGGCACTTTATAGTTAATACAGTATAATAAACTTAAGACAATATTAAAAAATATCACGTAAAAAAATATTATTTTAAGTAATCTTACTTTTGAAAGGAAATCGTCCAAATCAGATATTCCGTAGCCATACGTCTGCTCGGGCTTGCCGTAGTCTAATATGTTTGAGTGCACATGGTTTCTTCTTTTTCTCTGAACATGGTTATTGTGCCTTCTTCCACGGTATTCGGACGATGTTGAACCGCCATACGATTTCCTGACGAATACGTTGTAACATAAATATTATTATAATTTATAGAGCATCGTATTCACTTGAAAAACGTATTGACAAACACTTCGAAACACGTAACGATATATCTTTATATTATTTAGTCATGCTATGGCCCACATGTTTATAGTAAATAATCATATTATAGAATAGTATCAAAATAAATGTATAAATCGTTTTAATTTTTTTAATTTTTGAGGGAGGGTATGGAGGGCATTTAAATCGGTGATCCGATTTTAAAAACAAATTAATTGGCCCGTTATAGGCAAAAAATTATCACTATTTTTATAATTTTGCTAAAATATAATAATTGTGTGGGTTGTGGGTAGTACCTATAAATAAATACTGTGAAATTATTTTTGTCACACTAATAATTAATAATTAATACATTTTATAGTTTATTGTTGAAAAATATAGACGCTTGGAAGTGTATGTAAGATATTGTACATTTGTACGTGTTTCTTGTGTGAAGAAACATTAAATTATTAAACAAAAATGTACTTTAAAGTGAGAGACGTGTTGTATTACAACAACAATAATATTATTATCCCATATCCTATTTACTATTTTTAAATCCAAACGCTACGGTACATCAGAATTGCATGTCCATATAATTTTATTAAATAATATAATTTGACTTATTTTTCCTCTGAATGAACGAGCTTTTGTTACATTAAAAGTACAATAAAATAATATATAAATATTGGAGAAGGCGACACTGTAAATATTGAATGTTAAATAAAACTGTTATAGTTTAGGATGATCAAGTGACTGTATTTTACATTTTTATGATATTTAAAATAAATAATAATATTATAAAATGTTTGATATTTCGAGTTTAGAATATCACTATTTCTATGTATAATAATGATAAATAACGTGGTCATATTCAACGTTATCTATATATTACAAATTTGGAAAAGTATATTTATTTTGTTATTAGCAACACTATGCAGATGGAAACTTTTTTACATGTATATTATTTTATTAATTTCATTAATAAACTTGTGTGTACCTAACTTACATGGTATGCAATTCGGATGCAGCCAAACGCTAATGTCCGTTTCAACTGACAGTAAAACAATAACAAAAAAAAAATTCTAGAGACATAATCGAAGATAAGTATTTTAAAACGTATCTTTGATTAAAAAAAAAAAAATGTTGAGATAATAATTATTTTTTTAAGTTATACCATATTGCGTATTGTGATAATATATTTTACGATATACAGGTAGGTACTCACGTTTCACGAGGCTTCTGACTGGGCTCTTGTTGACAAAAGTTTCTCCTGTGCAACACCCATGTCAGTGTATCGTCGTTTTTCTTGGACAGCGATGAACTTCGAAGTCCCATCAGGGGTCACCTTTTAATTCTTAAATTCCTGCAATATTTATTACGTATAGGGGAAACTTTAAATAAACTTGATTGAACGAACTACAGAATAAAAATAATATCGAGTATTAGAGCTTTAGAATAATTATGGTAAAGATTAAGATCGAACACTATTGTAGCGTTTCTGGTTTTGAATTGTTATAGTATAAAATAACGACCGTTAACGTCATAATCAAAATTAAATTTAAATCTCATACGACGGCGGAGCTAGGTTTCAATTGAATAACAAAAAAAAAAAAAAAATGCAGATCGTTACTATAATAATATTTATTCGCTGTGAGAATTATTCGAGGCAATTGCAGTACTAAAAATGAAAAACGCAACACTTCCGGAATTTAATTTTGAACGTAAGTCAGGCGATTGAAAAATCTAAAAGTATACCGTGGTCGTCTAATCAATCAGGAACACCCGAAAAACGCATCACGTAAAAACGAAAAATAAACTTACCTGACACATCTCACGCCGACGAAGATCTAAATACCTGTACGATCGGACACAACGCGCGCAGAGGCCACCAGCGGACGAGAAAGTTCGTCTACATCGGCACGTCACCGGTGTAATATATGGTATAGGTATTTTATAATAATAATAATGATAAAAAACCGATTGGGTGGACCGGGTTTCCTCGTTTGCGTTCGACTCGGACGTCGGCGGCGTCCGACGGTATTGCACGCGCGCGACCGTAATATTATCATCATGATAATTATTATTATTATATAATATATATATTTTTTTTTAATGCATAAAAAATACGTCGTTGTGTGTTATCGACGCGGCTTTAATTGTTTGGGGGCGTCTTTGGTCAGGCGCTCGTGCACACACGCACACACAAACGCGTGCGCGGGCCCGACGACGTCGAGTTCTCCATACGGACCGGCAGGCGAAGAGGCGTGACTTGACCCAAGCTTCGCAGCGTGCCCGGCCCGGGCCGACCGTGGGAACGTGTTATAGATGACCCGAGTGCACCGCCGCCCTCTCATACACACGCACACACACACACTACTATATCTTACACGACGTATATTATGCTATATTGTGTACGAGATGATTTTTTTTCTTTTTTAAAACGCTCATAATTTTGAAAACTATACGAATATCTTTCAAAAATAAATATATTTGATATTATCATCATTTTACAAAAATGTATTCCTCTTCAAAACGACAACATTTTATGTTTTTTATTTCGCGGAAGCAGAATATTTCTCCCGAGTATTTATAGGGATACAAATCGAATTTAGAACAAATTATGATTAATTAGTCACGAGTAATAACAGCTAAAAAAATTATAACTCATAACTCAAAAGTATTTACACTTTAGATGAATGGAATGATGAACCATTATTTCGCGTTGAACTCCTGTGCGGCCGTGCCATTCTACCCCATTTAAATATAAATATATATTTATAACTTATAACAGATGATCGATTAATTTCTCATTGGAAATTCGATGTTGGTACATTGAAATACTTTTAAAAAAATTCTGCTTCGAACTATGAAATCAAAAATGTATTTTGTCAATCAAAAAATTTAAATACAATAAAAATATAATACACTTATTATTCAAAACTGTTGTTTTCTCACCATTTTGTGTAGAAAGTTTTTTTTTTTAAAAACCATATAGTTTTTTAAGTGATGAGAGTTTTTATTAAAACAATCACTCTATATATATATATATATATTTTTTTTTTTTTTTTAAACGTCAACTCAGTGATGTGTTCTCCACCTCATCTCACTTAATAGGCATTTGTTAATTATACTTAGACCCGATCATAAAAACGAAATAACAAGTTAGGCGCAGAATATAGGACCAGGTAGTTTTCGATGTAAATGAAACGTGTATTTTAGTACTTGATACATATGAAGTTTAAGGGCAAGTACTCTTGGTAAATTTCATGATTTACGTATTGTAGGCTTATTGTAGTAATACACAATACATACTGCAGCGTACTCACTGATCGACTGTTCAAGTTTTATTTACCGACCAAGGTATTATGATGGAGAATAAAGCAGAATATGTTTTAAAAACTGAATACTATACACCAAAACATGAAAAAAAAAAGGCACCCCAGTCGAACCGTGAAATACGACGAAAAAATCAAACCTAAACAATAAAATGCTCGTATTGAAATATCAGCATGATCTCACACAAACGACAAACTCGTAGGAGTGCCGAACAATTCCAATATTTTATAAATAGTTTAATATACACAATAAACTGCATGTATCGGTATTATACTTGTATTTAATCTTCTTTATATATTATATAATGTATGTATTATGTACATTATAATAATCACTTCGACTGCACGAAAAACGTGCCAGACGTTTATAAGTATAAAAACATACAATAATAATTCGCATCGTTTATGATAGTCGAACAACTCGGCTCCGTCTGCGCGTTTGGTGTTGCGAACCATGTCTATGTGTACTTAAAAGGACGCTACACATGCAATCGTTCATATTGTTGTCTCTGTCTTACACACACACACACACACACACACACACACACACACACACACACACA